ATAAATCAAAAAATATTGAAATAAAATCATAAAATAAAAGAATAGTTTAATAACTAAAGCTACAAAACTTTAACTCAGTCAAAGCAAAACGAACATTTTATGGTTTATACGTAGTTATAACATATTGATAATTATCGATATATCAATCGATAAGTCGAGCCAATGCGCTCGACCGGCGCCGTTCAGTTGCGATTGTAGAACTTTCTTTGGTAGCGTCTGCAGCTGCTGCCCATGCTGCCGACGCCTCCGCCTGCAATGCCGCCGCTGCCGCTGCCGCCGCCCATGCCCACGCCCACGCCTACGCCCATGCCCATGCCCATGCCCATGAGCTGCTGCTGCTGCTGCTGCTGCTGTTGCTGCTGCTGCTGTTGTTGCTGATGCAGCCCAAAGCCGGCGGCTCCATAAAACTGTTGACCGGAGCCGCCGATGCCGCTGCTGCCGCCGCTGCTGCCGCTGCCGCTCATGCCCAGGGCTTTATTTTAGCTGGACGCCCCCAGCTGGTTCTTCATGTGCGCGGCGGCAGCTGCAGCGGCAGCGGCCGCAAACGGCGAGCCGACGCCGACACCGCCGCCAGTTGGCGTTTGGGGTCCATTGTTGTTGTTGTGATCACCTGGCGTGCGCGGCCCATTGACCATGCCGCCACCAACGCCGCCGCCATTGACATTGGCGCCGCCCGTCACACCGCCCGGTCCGCCGCCCAGCAACCCGCCCGCATTGCCAGCACCGCCCGCTGCTCCAGTCGGCGAGCCCTGACCCAGGGACGAGACATGACGCTTCAGCATCGGATGATTGGCCATCGAGGCGAACACCAGACGCTCCTCATAGTCGTATTCACAGAGTATTTTATTCTCGCATAGGTAGAAGCGATCCCCAACACAGAATCTGCAAGGAAGGTGGGAAAGAGAGAGGGTTAGATTATGATTTGAGTGAGAAGAAGGATTGTGGAAAATATATCAAAATACCAATATATCGATATTTTTGTATGAAAAATATATTTATATCGGAACATTTTTTTGTTGTCCCAATATCGATTATTGTTTAGATCTTTTTTTTTATATATTTGAGTGAAAAGTGAACCAAGCGAAAAGTAAAAAAAATTGAATATGATGAAAACGAATTATTCTGAGTTTGAAAATGGAGCATTGCCTTAAAGTAATAAGAATAAGTGCCTAACACATCAGATATGGGGTCGAATATGAAACAAGCACTATAATAACTTTGAGTACCGAATATTAGAGTTAAGCGGCCTTTATCATATAAAGAAAAAAATACTTATTCTTATTATTCTTGTTTTTTGGGATGGAATATAAATTCATTGTGGGAAAAAAGTTTAAAAAATAAGAATCGAAATATATTGGCATATCGATATGTTTAAAGTTCGTATAAAATATCATATTGATATTTTTTAAAACTTAAAATATCATCGATACGATATTTTTAAAATATTCGATAAACCTAGAGAGAAGCAAATTGATATACATTAAATGAGCTCGAATATGGAATTCTAATTGGAATTTTAAAACTGAATCTTGCATAAAGAGACTTTATAGATGCCACAGTGATGGGTTTATATAACTGATAAATATATGTATATATACTTGTACATGTATATACATATATAAATTATATAAACATGGCATTCTTTATGCCCGAGTTGAACCTGATGGAGGAACAGGAACCTGCTAAGTGGAAACGATTTTTCCACTTGCTTAAGCCTGCAAGCGACGTCCTGAGAGAGACAGACAAACAGCACAAAGATGTCAATTGACAGGCAACTGTTAAGCTGCCGACTGCGAGGGCTGTCAGAGTGAATGGCCAGGAACTGAGTTGGCTGAAACAAAGGCACAGACGAAGACATGCAGCAGGAGCCGCCACAGWGGCAGCAGCAGCAGGACCAACAACAGTATCAAATGAATGGGACGAGACAACGGTTTGATGACATCGTTCACAAGGAAGTCAGAGATAAGCATTTGAAAATGTCAGAGGCACAGCAGCAGGAAACGGGCCACAGATCTGCAATTGCTACAAGATACAGCGCAACGGGGGTAACAGGTGAAACGTTACGTGGTAGCCGAACAAGTTCCGCTTCACTGCAGTCCACTGTGGGCGTACGGCCAACTGCAAATGAAGTCCAATGCCCTGCCCCAAAGCATGTGTCTGTGTGTGTGTGTGTGCATGAAGCCCTTTGTCAAAATATTTATGTTAGCACCTGTACAGGTTGACAACGGGGCAAGCAGTGCCGGGTGCTGGGAGCTGGGAGCTGGGTGATGGGAGCTGGGTGATGGGAGCTGGGTGCTGAAGGGGCGTCTACGCAACAGTTGCCCAACATTCGGAAAACTCCAACAGAATATATATGGAAAAAAAAAGCAACACACGAAATACACAGCTCACATTTCAAAGCAAACAAGCCACGGCACAAACACTCCAATTAAATGAAGCAATCTAAATGCTCTTACATAAGAATATGCTGATATGTATAGAATATATTATGTTATATTCATATCTATTATTGTTCCATCTGTCAAGGTTATCTTTATTACGAGGATTTCAATTTAAATGTCTTTCTGTTATACCACTGTTATACGACTGTTATACTAATGCGAAATTTTAGTCAGTGCAATACATATTTATACTAAACTGCGCCTCTGTTATAATACTGTTATATTGATCGCTTACATAATTCAATTACAATATATTTCACTCTTTGTTAGACCTCAGTTTACATAATACCATAGGAATATCTACAGATAGTTATACATATAATATGTACCACATATATGCACACATACTATAGCTTTGTATAATCTAACTGTCTACCTACCAAATAATCTATTTATTTATCCGTTGTTCTTTCTATACACCTGATCGTTAAACTATCTATCGATCAAATCGATCTATACTTATATTTAACTACTCGTCTGTGCGATATATCTATATTGGTCATTCAATTTTTCTAGCAATATATATTTATCAGTCACTTGATTATCTATATATGTACTTTTTCCATTTGTGTTTTTATTATATCAGCCGATCTATTTATTTATCGATAATCTGCGTAGGCATCTATCTGATCTTAACTATATTTCCCTTTTACTCTATATTAAGACTTTCAGAACCAGCTTGTTGGCTATGTGCACATGCCGCTTGCTAGCTAGTGCAACATTTTTATGTTTGACAAGTACGTATGCCCCATCTGGCCAGAGGAGTAGCGGGCTAGGCAGCAGTAGAGAGGGCAGGGGCATGGATAGGGGTAGGGACATGGGCTTACAGCTTACAGCAGACTTACAGCGGATATGAAATTCGGCTTTTGATTTACGTCAATGTTTTTTTTTTTGCTATTTTTTGGTTCTTCTGATTTTTTGTTGGTTTCATTTTCTTGTTGGCTGCTGGCGTTGCAGCAAATCGATTGACGGACTGGCACTGGCACTGGCTATGTACAAACAAACACACATATGTGGGCTGTGTGGGCTGTGTGGGTGTGGCATGGCGTCGTCTACATGAAAAACGCTTTGTTTATCTACCAAAACAACAAAAAATGCTCGAGTCAACAAAGTATGAAAAAGAAGAGCAACGACAACTTTTGGCTATGGCATTGAACGCACCTGTGACATGCACACCACACATCAGACATGTGTATGTGTGTGTGTGTGTGCGTGTGTGTGGAGGACTCGCACATCCGGGCAAGTGAAGACCAACAACAAATTGTCAACAGGAAATACAAAAATTGTTAAAATGGCGCACGCTGTTATTTCTTCAGCTTCCTCTCACACTCACTCGCTCGCTCGCTCACTCACTCTATCTCTCTTCTACTACTCTGGCTTGTGCTCGCACGAAAAGATTCACTGCCAAACTTCGCGCTCTGTTTACCGCTACTGCTACTTTCCTTCTCCCTCGCACTGCTGGGCTGCCTGCCAGTCAACTAACAACGTCGTCGATGCTGGCGACAGGAAATTATGCAAACTTTTCAGTAACAACATAAAAATAAAAACAACAAACACATTCGATGCACTTTCGTTAAAAAAAAAAAACACACACACACATGTACTCAATACACAATGAGAGTGAGAGCGAGCAGCGTGGAGCATAAAGAATGGAAAAAAGAGCAAAAATGCAAAGCGACTTTTTGTTGATGTCGCTGCCGCTGCCGCTGCCGCTGTTCATGATGTGGCAAGTGAAGTCCCGCATTTTAAATGTGAAATGTGCGACCAACAATAAAAATGCTGCACGATTGCGTGGCAGGAGTCAGGGCCATTGCAAGCTGCCCGCTGGCCATGCCACAACGCCTCAATGACTTTTTTGGCAATTGAATTAATTTTCGTAAAAAATTGATTAGCCTCAAATGGAAATGGAAAACGAAGGAACAAAATATATATTTATGTACACGCACAACGAAATTGATCGGTGATTTTAAAGAGCGCAGGCTACAATTTTGGTAATTTTTATTAGAATTTCCCTTAAGGAAATTCCTCAGGGCAGCTTTAGCTGAGCGCCTTACAGACTCTCTCCCTCTCTCCCTCTGACAAAGTGCACACGAGCGTTAACAGACTGCTGTTATCAGTTTAACAGACAAAGCAAATGAACAGACATTGAGTGTTTGTCTTAACAGACAACTGTTAGAGTTGGCAAAATAAATGTGACCAAATTCAAATTTATAAAAGAATACAAATATGAATATGAAACTAATTCTTCTCATTCTATTTAATTTCCAACTTCACTTCGAAAGGCAACCTGTACAGGCCGCACTCAGGCCACATGCCGCCTGTTACATTTTTAAAGCCAATTTTCGACAATGCGAAACAAAAGCGTCAGCGATTGCATTTGCAACAGCCGGGCAACATTGTATGGGCAATGGGAGGGAGTGGGCCAGGATTTTTACAATAAGCCAATATGTTTTAACATTTATTTCAATATTTTTGTGTTCGGCAATGCCGTGTGGCGGCATTTTAAATATTTAATGCATTGCCGTTGCTTCTACAATATGCTCCAATGGAGATGAAGGCAACCAGGGCAGGGGCAGGAGCAAGGCCAGTGGCCGGGATCGAGGCAGGGCACGGCATATGGGCAGTCGCATTAATAATGCAAAGCGAATCGAAAAGAAGAAAACAAAATAAAAAAGGAACTGAAATACTTGTTGACCGGTCACGAGCTTCACGCACACACTTTAAAACTCTCTAGAGTGACATTTGCCGAATTGGCCAAATGCAATAAATTCGCAAAGGCAGCTGGCTAGCTGGTTGAGCTGCACGCGAGCCCGTTGACTAGTTGATGGCACCCCGAAGGGTACGAGAATCAAATATGCCCATGAAATTTATGCGGTTTTCATAGAAACTCTATGACACTCAAAGGGGTTGCTCTCTCTATCTCTCTCTCTCTCTTTCTCTCTCTTTCACTCTCACACTCGCTGCCCGAATTACCCCATACTCGGCATCCAGGAGAACCCAAAATAAGGGCCAAACAAGCTTGTAAATGATGTCAATTTGTTGCCGCTGATGCTTTAGCTGCATAATAATAAAATTCAAAGTGCCATTTTGGCCATGTATATTGGCCAAAGATTAAAAAGGGATTTCTTTTCGGCAATGTGTACAGAAGCTGTTGATAGGCAAATGGCCCATAAAAATGCATAAGTAGGTAATATGGCAAATGAGCATAAGGAATAGGAGAGTGTGTGAGAGAGAGAGAGAGAAGTAAAAGTAGAAGTAGAAGTAGAAATAGAAATAGAAGTAGAAGTAGAAGTAGAAGTAGAAGTAGAAGTAGAAGTAGAAGTAGAAGTCGAAGTAGAAGTAGAAGTAGAAGTAGAAGTAGAAGTAGAAGTAGAAGTAGAAGTAGAAGTAGAAGTAGAAGTAGAAGTAGAAGTAGAAGTAGAAGTAGAAGTAGAAGAAGAAGTAGAGAAAGAGAGATAAGAGAGATGTTTAGAAAGACACAGACCTAGATATATGGGTTTTCGTGTTCTGGCTGTGTGAATGTTTCGCATTCATTCATAGCTAAAGTGTTCAAATTATACATATATACACATATATATGTAGGCAATTAAATGCGAGGTATTATTCCACGAATCGAGGACGAGAGGGCATTGCTCTATAGGCCGATGATCAGTCCAGCAAAAAGTAAAAAAACCACAGAATTCGCGATTCAAGTAANAGTAGAAGTAGAAGTAGAAGTAGAAGTAGAAGTAGAAGTAAAAGTAGAAGTAGAAGTAGAAGTAGAAGTAGAAGTAGGAGTAGAAGTAGAAGTAGAAGTAGAAGTAGAAGTAGAAGTAGAAGTAGAAGTAGAAGTAGAAGTAGAAGTAGAAGTAGAAGTAGAAGTAGAAGTAGAAGTTGGGGCAGAAATAGATGTAGAAGTAGATCTAAGAGCTATACGCATAACTAGACGTAGCCGTAGGGCTTTCGTAAAAGTATAGGCAAATATAAATTCGTGCTGAGGCGCAAGTACAAATTGAAGTTTAATCCCAATATAGTTTCAAGTATAAATAAAAATTTACAAATCATTTTCTCCACTGGAATGTCAACTCTCCTATCAGATGTCCTGCCTGTCTCACACAACTATCGGGTGCTGGCGATATATATCGTTGTTACTGGGATCACTCACCTATGATTACATTGCTGGCACGCAAAGCACTCCAGATGATAGACATTGGTGCGTGCACGCATCACCATCTCGAAGGCTGGAATGACTTTGCTGCAGGCGGCGCAGTATCCCGTATTCCCGAACAATCTGCAAAACGAGAGTTAACAGCGATTAAAGATCTCTTTCTCTTTCTCTCCATCTCTGTCTCTCTGTCAGTGTTACGCACCTCAAGTAATCGCGCTTGCAGAGCATCAGATTGCCCTTGGTGTAGAGCGTGGAGCCGACCTCGCCGAGGCGGCAATCGCAGCAGCCGCACTTGAGGCAATCCTCGTGCCACAGCATGTCCAGGGCGCGCAGCAGGTAACGGTCCTGGATGTGCTTGCCACAGCCAGCGCACAATTGGCTGCCATTGTTGTTGTTGTTGTTGTTGTTAGCGGCGGCCGCAATGCTCTGCACGTTGCTATTGCTGTTGTTGTTATTATTGTTGTTATTGCCATTGTTCACAGAGTTGCCATTGCTCAGGCCATTGTTGTTGTTGCCGCTGCCATTGTTGTTGCTGTTCTGGCCGTTGTTGTTCATGTTTGCGGTTTGCTGTTGCTGCTGTGCCGACTGCTGCTGCTGCTGATTGGATGATAGCCCGACTAGTCCGGGTTCTGTTTTGGTTATATCCATAGTCATCATCTGCAAGAGCAAAAGAGAGAGAGAGAGAGAGAGAGAGAGTTAGCCAATTTCTTACTGAAAAACGAAGGAGAGGGGGCGAGTCCGTGTATGTACATTCGGTCTGCTAATCTCCTGCCAATAGTCCTCATACGACGACCGCGATCTCTTCCACTGTTGACGGCGAGTGCCGCTGCTGCTGTTCGTCTGTGGCATTGTCAAATGCTCGTAGCCGTAGTACTGCGGCACGGCGGGCACTATGAACCGCTCGGGTGCATTGAAGTCAATAAATTTTAAGTCGTTGTTAAATTCGTAGTCAAAATCAACTGTATACATGACCACAACAGCAACGTATTCAATTGTAACTATATATTTAAATCAGTTTTTCACTTATGTGATTGAATTGTCATCAACAAAGAAATGTCTCGTCGATGCCAGTGTAATTCAATGCTGTCAAGTAATTTTAACGGCATTTGTCAGCTGTCAGGCGTACCGATAGTCATCTCAGTGTTCACTAATGCCATTAATAGACGGCGGCGTCTAGAACATGTTCTCTCACAACTTTTCATAGCATACTTTTACGCGGGGCCTGTTAATGTGCTGTTAATTTAGCAGAAGCGCTGAATTAACGGCTTGCCAAAATTGTATGTCATTCTTCTATGTGCGTACTTTTTCGCAACTACATGTAAATTGTTAAGCCTTCTTCGGAAATATAAAAAGCAAAAAAATTAACAAGATATATAAAAAAAATATAAAATAATTGTGCGATCACACTTCTAAGCGGGCTCGTCCGGGAGTTGAACCCGGGACCTCTCGCACCCGAAGCGAGAATCATACCACTAGACCAACGAGCCGATGTCAACGTGGCCGACCCAAACCCAAACTGAATGGAGACTATCGCAAGCTGCGACCTCGATGTGATCAAACTCTTGCGTCATATCCAAAAGAATTCCGCTATGCGTATGCTATTTTTAGCACAACACAAGCTTCGATCGCCGTTTGAGCGCTGTGTTTGAGCGCTGCTGTCTCCTGATTGGTTATGCGTGGGCGTCGGTCCTTTATAACGCAGCTTATTGACGGCGACTTCGCCAGATGGCCTCTTTAGCTCAGAGGCAGAGCACTGGTCTCGTAAACCAGGGGTCGTGAGTTCAATTCTCACAGGAGGCAGGCCTAAGCCGCTGCGGAATTTTTTTTTTTACATTGCTGTAAAATCGGAGTTCAATAAGCGTCATTTTGAACGAAAGTTTTACTTTCGATATTTTGCATATTTAAGCGAAACATTTTGCGGCTGACAATTTCAACCAGCAGCAGCAACCGCAACATTTGCAACTGTCACTTTTGCTTTATTGCTGCGTGTGTGCAACGCTGCAAATTGCTGACTGCAGCAGCGCGATAACGATAACAAAACATGGCCAAGGCGTCTGTCAATGGCCAGCAGCGGCAGCAGCAGCAGCAACAACAACAAATCAATGCGAGCAGAAAATGCCAACAACGATTTAAAATAACGAGATTTATGACAAATTGGCATTGGCCAAACGGAAACAGAAGAGCGCAAAGTGCAACGAAACGAAATGGAATGAAATGGAATGGTCATGCATGCGTGTGTGTGTGTGTGTGTGTGTGTGTGTGTGTGTGTGTGTGTGTAACCAGGCCAAAATCAAAGCGCTAAATACTTAGTTTGTTGCCAATTTCTGTTTGCCAGCCAGAAGCCCTAAAAATATGCAGAGATGTCGCTGCTTGTGTTTGTGTGTGTGTGTGGGGAAGGGGGACGGACTGTGGCTAGGCATGCATATATGGGGCTGCCATGTGTTGTGGCACCATTGTCTGTCGCCCTGCCTCAATTGTCGTTGGCCATGGCCAAATGCATTAAGCCAACATGGTTGCCGCTGCCGCTGTCCATGTAGCACCAACTGTGACCCGGCCTTGGGGGCACAGACCGTGGCACGTTACTCCGTGCCACGCGTGTGCAGCTGCTGGCAATGACTTTAATTAGACGTCGCACTGCGGCCAGTGTCAAAAACTCATCAGCCATGGGCCGCGGGCGTCGGGGACGGGGGATGGGGGACGACCAATGGACGTTCGCTCATAAAAATTCAATCAAATCAATTTATGTAAATTTAACGCCAGCCCCCTAAAAAGCCGTACCAAATACCAATCAGCCAAGTCAGCTTTTAACTTGGCCAAAACCAATGCAGTCTGCCACTCCCCCTCTCAGTGCACCCCTTCGCCGCCTGCTCGCGGACTGCATTGTTATTTAGTTTAGTTCAAAATGAATTGAATGCTAAATGTTGGCGCAACGTTTTCATATTCGAATTTCATTGCCACCAAAATGCAATTGTATGCCGCATGCGGCATGCGGCATGCCGGGGGGCGTGTCGCACGAGTGGGCGTGGCCACATGCCACAGCTTTATCGGAGACAGCGCATTCATTGAGCATTCATAGTTTTTGTACAATGCGTAGGCGATCAATTAATTTATGCATTACATTCATCTTCCCTCCTCTCTGCCTGCCGCTTTCTCTACTTCTCTCCCTCCCTTCCCTCACCCTTTCACCTGCAACTCTTTTCAATTTGCATACGAAATTTGATTTTGGGCAACGATTTAACTGGCGATTTGCCTGCTTTGTTTCACATTCCATTCCATTGCATTTGCTATTCCATTCCATTTAACTTTAATTTCGTTTCATTCCATTTCGTATACACATTTTCTGTTGGTACTAAGCTGTTTCTTTTTATTGTATTTCACAAATTTAATTGTTTACGTTTCATTGCACTAGATTTCACTTTATTTTGGCACTTTTCTGTTTCATTAAGATTTTATATTCAATATTTAATATATTTCATTTGTTTCCATTCCACTTTATTCTGAGTTAAGTCTGATCTTAGGGCATTTTGGTTAGTTGGCTTTGGCTTACAGTAAACGTTATTCATTTTTTCTGTTTCATTCCATTTTGTTCTCAAACATTTCTCAAAATTGCAAAAATGTGATGCCAATGTAACCTTTTATACGTTAACGTTTCATTCCAATATGTTCCTCTATAGTATACCATTATATTTCACTTAATATTGGTTAGTTTTAATTTCCCTTCATTTCATTTAATTCATTTTACTTGTTTCAATTTCAATTCCTTTCATCTTTGATCCATCCACTTTATTTTAGCTTGGCTGCTATCATACGTTTTTCTACTGTTTCATTCCATTCGTTCGCTAACTCGTTTCGTTAGCTGACAATTTCAATGTTTCATTTCCATCAATTATTCAATGCCCTTTAAAAATACTCTCTAATAACGGGGCATTTGATAACACCTGTACTTCTCCCCATGGTTAAACGTAATTTGTTATCTAGTTTCGAGTTGAGAAAATTGGTATCCACCCAGTCCAAATCGTTGCTTAGCCTCACCGTAAGGCAGACGGAAACGCAACCGATACCTGACGCAGGTGATAGGGGCGCACGGAAGAGCAGGTAACACGGACGGCCGGCCGGGCGAGCTAATTGCGCGACCAGGGCGCTCATTAAACCCAATCAATATTCAAATTTCCACGGCCGTAATACCCATAGAGTCGTAGTTTTTGGGGTAACTCTGGCCGGCGGCATTTTCACAGTTTAGTTTGCTAAGCGGATGCCGGCCAGCCCCTAGCCGCGGGGTCCCTCCACCCTCTAGCCTTTACCCTTTACCCTTCACCTTACACCCTTTGCCATTTGCCATTGCGTTTCGTTTTTGGTTCCGGCTCTATAATTATGCATATGCATGTGGTGCCGCTAGAGAATGGGGGCTGGTGTCGCGGCCGGTGTTGGGGTCGGGGGCGTGGTGAGGTTTTTGTGTCGCAACTTAAACCCTTTTTAACCCCAATTGTTGAGCCAAGTGGAAGATGGAGGCGGGGATTTAAATTACAGGTTTGCACGCAAGTTAACGGAAGTTACGTCGGTTATAAGAAACTGTCGCTCTTTCATTTCACGTTCCACACACACACACACACACACACAAATTAAGTTGATTTTGCGGTCAGTTATGTTTATGGTTTATTTATTTGGCCAACGACGACCAGGCGAGGCCAAAAGCTGCTGCAATTTTGTGACATGTTTTATGCATGCGCCCCAAAAAGTAGGCAACGCCACATCACACGCCGCCCGGCGAACGGCAGCTGCATTGGCGTGGGCAGCTGAGGGGGGATGGGGGATGGGGGATGGCGGGCAAATGTTGTCGCATGTCGTCATGTGGAGCGGATTTAATGACACTAATTAGTGGCCGATGCTCATGTGACAGAAACGCGTTACGGCAAACGAGGCGAGCCCCAACGCTCAACGCTACCTACACCAACCCCCCGCCACCGCCGTCCCCGCCCGCTGAACACTTCAAAAATCACAGAAATGTTACTGCCATATGCCTGCAACAGCTGCAACAACTGCTTTGATGCAGTCCGTGCACTGTGTGGAGCTCAGCCCTTAATGCCAGCCACCCACTGGCAGTCCTCCACCCCCCTGCCACTCCCACCACGCTTAATTGGTAATTAATTTATTTTGCATAATATTTCGCGCCGTTCGCTTTGCCCGTTGCACATTATGTTGCTGACAGCCTGCGGCAACCCCTAGCTTTTGGGCGTCGGGCGTGGGGCATGGGGGCGTGGCTGGTTGGCTGGCTGGCTGGCTGTGGAGATTTCATATTAAGGACGAACGTAATTATGTTTATTTGGTTTTGGGCTTTTGGTTCGTTGTCGCGCTTCGTGCAACTGACGGACATCCAAAGGTGTCAAAAAGTGCGAATTAAGTGCGAATAAACGTGCTGAGCGTGCAGAGGACACGCCCACACACACAAACACACACACACCTGTCTGTCTGCGCGTAAATTTACATTGGCGCACAAAAATCACATAAATTTAATTTGTGCACGCAACGAGCGAGCCGGGAAAATTGATGGTGAAATTATGGAAAAATAATCAAGTGACTGATAAAAAAAATAAAATTATAATAAAATAGGCAATAAACAAACTTTTCAAATCGATCAGCTAACTGCATAAAAATAATCAATTATATTACAGCAATAAATTAATTGTTATACTTAGTTCATAAATATAAACAATAACTTGCATAAACACCTCATTTATATCGAAGAAAAGTACGAAAAAAATTGAAGAGTGGGAGCAAATTCCCTAAGACATTCCATGGTATATCCTAAAAATGCATAACAGAGTCAATTAAGAGAGAATTTCCTTTTTATTGCCTACTTTCAAGAGCGAAACGATATGGTAAGCAGCAAAATTGGGAAGATCACTAAGTTCATAACAAATAAACACATATTTTTTATTGAAATATAAATTAGCTAAATAATTGTTAAAGGTCAAATGGCTTTAATGGTCAACTAGAAACAGCGAGAGAAGTCCACTTTCAATGTCCTTTGGCCATGCAAGGCTTCCGCGCACA